ATTAAAGTGGAAATTAAGTAAGTGGAAGAACTAGGTTCTTCTGAAGGAACCAGAGAAATGAGACTGCATTTGTGGCAGTCTTGTAAAGCAATACAGATATTTAGAACGAAAGTAAGTTATGGTTCACTGCAGACTACTGAGTAGGCGTTATTATTGGTATTTCTTTCAATAAAGAGTTTTGTTTCTTTAGTCTGGAAGTTCCTTTGAAGTTATTTTACTGGGTTTGCATGCTTAGTCTGTTATGGTATTTCGTGATGCATAAGCAGTCAGCTTTGAGTTTATGGTGTGATGCATAAGCAGTCAGCTTTGAGTTTATGGTGTTACTAGCTGAAATGTAGTTTCAAGTGGCATAGGGTTGGATTTGTGTTTGGACAATGAAGTTATGATTATTTCTAGGTAGATAAAATATGGAATGCTACAGTTACCTGTATGAGGGAAAAGGCAGTATGCAAGAGAAATCGAGATATTACTCCAAGAATGCCCCTTGCATGGAATTCTCACTGTATTAGCTTTTCCTGAGAGGCTGCATATGCTGAGTGTATAGGTACAAGTTTTTGATTTGGACCTGAGGTGCCATCTGCCAAACTGAGCAGCTGTGGGCCACATAACTTGTAAGTGGTCCTGTATGTTGATGTGAGGTTCAGAGTAATAATATGCTGGGATAAAATAATGCATTTTATCACTATTCATGCTTGCACTTTGCTCAAATCAGTCTATCATGAAACTCACAGTCCAACTGTGAGTCCAGCTGTGAGTCCAGCAATTCCCTGGCTAACCAAAAAGTCTCTCCCTACCATTTTTTAAGACTTGTTTTACGACTTTTTAATTTTAACCCGAAGTTACTTAACTGAGCAGCTGCTAAGTGTTACACCTCAAACACCATGGCAGAATTGACAGCAAAGGGTGATGCTGTGGCATAGAATCATAGAGAAGGAGGAGTTAAGTAGCTAACAGAAGGTGCAGACTCACAGAATTGCTGTCAGAGGCTCCATTGTGAAACTATCCCAGGTGTCAGTATGTTGGAAACTGCTTATTGAATGGGTCTTAACTCTAATAAGCTTTAGGTTCTACATTGTCTGAATTCTTTAAGGTAAGGCTATTGTTTAACAGAATTCTTCAGCAGTACCTCACCAGCTGAACCCAGCTGGGATCAGCATTAATTCAAAGTTACTCTTTGGTAGCTTCTACTGCATAATAGGTGTCCTTTGCCCCCTTGTGTCACTCTTAATTGAACTGAATTGTCTTTTAACACTAGGGAAGCTTTTCATGAAATTCAAACCTCAAAGTAGAGTCTTTGTATATTACCTGAAGTTACTATTGTGTAATAATTGCTGTAAAGAAAGGAAAGATTATATACCAAATCACATCATGTAGTAACCCGTTACAGTTTACTACGTAGGTGGCTGCAGTACTTAGCAATACACAGTATCACAATGCAGTTCGTTACAAAACATAAAAGCAATTGAAATTACTGAAAAAATTTGTCTGAACAGCAGTCATCTAACATATGGTTGGGAAGTTGTTACTCTAGCAAAACATTACAGAATCATAGAATCCCAGACTGGTTTGTGTTGGAAGGAACCTTAAAGCTCATCCTGTTCCAACCCCCTGCCATGGGACACCTTCCACTAGAGTAGCTTGCTCCAAGCCCCTGTGTCCAACCTGGCCTTGAACACTGCCAGGGATGGGGCAGCCACAGCTTCTCTGTGCAACCTGTTCTAATGCCTCACCACCCTCACAGGAAGCTATTCACTGCTTCATCTTTAGCCATAGTAATTGACTGTAATACTGGTTTCAGCTCCTACTGAGAAGTTTTAAAGGCAGTCCTCACATAGTAAGAATACCTTTGGTGGCTGTGCCATGGTTTGATTCCCAATGCGGGGGTTCAAACCCTACTCCAGGGTTTGTGTCTCAGGGCAAGCATGAGCTATGTTTACTTTCTGAAAAGGTAGAAAACAGTAGTGTGTACCTGTGTAAAAGGAGAAGGCAGAGGGCAGAGCTTCACACGCTTGAAGGTGCTGCTGGTTTGTTCTGTGTTGAAGTCATACAGGTGGCAATGGTGTAGGGCTCAGTTGTGATGAAGCAGGCTGGTGCTGGCTCACAGGCCAAGGACCCTGCTCTGTGCTGCCTGGCATGTCTGCTTCATTAGATCAGGAATGCTGAGGTGAGGTCTTCTCTTACCCGGTGAGGCTTCACCCTCCTGGCCAGCTGCTGTTAAACATGGCAGACCCCATCAGTCTGTGAGGTGACTGTGACTGAACACAGCAGAGCCCATGAGGCTGTGAGGTGACTGCAGCTGAACATAGCAGAGCCCATGAGGCTGTGAAGTGACCGCAGCTGAACACAGCAGAGCCCATGAGGCTGTGAGGTGACCGCAGCTGAACATGGCAGACCCCATCAGTCTGTGAGGTGACTGTGACTGAACACAGCAGAGCCCATGAGGCTGTGAGGTGACTGCAGCTGAACATAGCAGAGCCCATGAGGTTGTGAGGTGACTGTGACTGAACACAGCAGAGCCCATGAGGCTGTGAGGTGACTGTGACTGAACACAGCAGAGCCCATGAGGCTGTGAAGTGACCGCAGCTGAACATAGCAGAGCCCATGAGGCTGTGAAGTGACCGCAGCTGAACACAGCAGAGTCCATGAGGCTGTGAGGTGACTGCAGCTGAACACAGCAGAGCCCATGAGGCTGTGAGGTGACTGCAGCTGAACCTAGCAGAGCCCATGAGGTTGTGAGGTGACTGTGACTGAACACAGCAGAGCCCATGAGGCTGTGAGGTGACTGCGACTGAACATAGCAGAGCCCATGAGGTTGCGAGGTGGCTGTGACTGAACACAGCAGAGTCCATGAGGCTGTGAGGTGACTGCAGCTGAACACAGCAGAGCCCATGAGGCTGTGAGGTGACTGCGACTGAACATGGCAGAGCCCCTCAGTCTGTGAGGTGATTGCGCTTCTAAAGCTTCTGGGCTGTGTGGGAGCAGGTTGAGAGTACATTCTATGAGCCTTTACTGACGCAGGAGTGTTAAGCCTCACTCCCAGCGCACAGCCCGCAGGCGGGCGGAGGGGTTCGCTCCCGGTACGGAGCTCCCGGGACTACAGCTCCCGGCGGGCGCTGCCGCGGCGGCGCATGAGTGGCTGACGGGCCGGGGCGGGTGCGCGGCGGCCGTGTGGCGGGATGTGCGCGCGGAGCTCCCGCCGCTGCTCCCGCGCGGGCCGAAGCCGCGTCTCCGTACGCTGGAGGGGTGAGGCCTGCGGCTGGGCGTCCGCATGGAGCTGAGCGGCGCAGAGGCGGCCTCCACACGGTTCCTCGGCTTCACTCAGCGGTAACCGGAGCGGTGGAGGGAGGTCGGGGCCCGAGCTCGGTTGCGGCGCGATGCGGTGCGGGCCCCCGCTGTCCATGGCGGAAAGGCGGCGCTGGGCCGGTGGCGCTGAGGTAGCGGAGCAGCGGGAGCCCCGGCTCCCCTCAGGGGCTGCCGCAGGTGGCGGGGGCGGGGCCAGACGGGCGCCCTCAGGGGCTTGTTCAGCGTTAGCGTTGCTGAAGGAAGGGGAACGGCGGTTGCCTCATGGCTCGTACCCGCCTCTGTCTCCTCCGTGACAGTCACACAATGGTTGAGGTCGGAAGGGACCTTAAAGCTCACCCAGCTCCAACCCCTGCCACGGGCAGGGACACCTTCCACTAGAGCAGCTTGCTCCAAGCCCCTGTGTCCAACCTGGCCTTGAACACTGCCAGGGATGGGGCAGCCACAGCTTCTCTGGGCACCCTGTGCCAGCGCCTCAGCACCCTCACAGGGAAGAGCTTCTAATAGGTAACCTAAATCTACCTTCTGTCAGCTTGAATCCATTTCCCCTTGTCCTGTTGCTACATGAATAAAGGTTTATCTGTATTAAAACACTTTGCAATATAAGTAAGTTACAAATTACTACACCAAACTAATATGAGCCACTGGTAAACGTAAGTATTTCAGTGCTGGTAGTTCCTATTAATACAACGAAAACTGGTTTAAAACTGGCATAACTGGACCAACAGTGTTTTCTGATGTAAGTCAGGTTGGGACTGAGGAATGATGTAATCCAGTGAAGAAAATAAGAAAAGTCAGTATTAATCACACCATATTTCTTTAAATTAAATGATGTGATATGTCAGAGAACTGTTGGTGGTAACAGAAGAGCCAAAGAGGTGTGCAGGCTAGAATTCATTGGGGAATATGGGCACTAATGCAAATAGCCTGATAATGTAAATCATACCTATGCATAAAGAGATGCTAAGATGCTTAACTTTCATGAGTTAGTGTAGCATTTGTGTTGGTGTGTGGTTTTGCTGTAAGTGCTTGATGTGAAGCAGATGACAGTATGACATGAAGCAGAAGTGTGACATGAAGTAGTTAGGTTGAGAAGAAGCAGAGGTGCGCTATTTGGTATAATTCCAATTTTTAAAAGGACTGCTGTTGTATTTGAAAGTTTGGTATGTTTTAGGTACTTTGAATTGGGACACAAATGGATAAGAACATTAGTATTAAACCGCTGTTGTTTTAATGAACATCTTCCTGCTTTTTAAACAGCGAGAGCAGTGTTGGAAAAATACTAATGGCTGTCATGTCATGTTCTCCTTTAATTCAGTAGCCCATATTATGTTACATTATTGTATTCATATTTTGTACACCTATATCTGTTTCTTAGTTATACAATGTTTGGATTTGAGTATTCTCCAGATTTTATTTTGTAACGCTTTTTGTTAGCTACTGATTTTGTTATCCCTGCAGCATTAGTATGCTCAGATCTCAGTATGCTTTTCCTTATGGAGTTTGACTTTCAGCTAAAATGTCACCAAATTAAGGTACAGGACTTAGTTTGTGTTTATGCAGTAGTTTAAAATGCCTTTGGAACAACCTGGGTTTACCATGCAGGTGTTTCATAAGATGGCATTTTCCTCTGTTTTCATGCATTTTGAGGTTTTTCCTCAAACCAAAAGCAGTTCAGTTTTATAAACTTCATCTTGCTGCTTCTGCTTTGTGAAGCCATCACATGACTGATTAATGTCTCTCAAAGTTATCCAGGCAGAGATGGTTCTGTTCAAAACACAGCAGGCCAGATGCTCTTTGTGGTGACTTTCTAACTTGTTTTATGTTTGTGTGTGGAGCTGTCCAGATACAGACACACGCAACAGTGACCTGGCTTTCCCAAGGCCTGAGGAGATTTGTTGTGCTAGTGACTGTTGTTGGATTATTAAATTTTGATATTTTTCTTTTTCTTTCACACTCCTTAAATTGTCATCTTACATCCATTTCTTCATTTGATCAAAGGCTGAATTTCAGACATCATCAGCAATATCTCTCTTGACTGCTGTTTCCATAGCATTCTGCCACCAGTACTGAGGGTGACAAGTGTTCATTGATTGGAATTGCTTAAACAGTGGTTTCTAAGGTAACTAGCACACCTACCCATAAAAAGGAATTGTGTAGAACAAAAGTAGCACATAGAAAAAAAGCTGGCACTACCACGATTACTTGATTTTCCTGTAAGAGTTAAAAAAGAATAGAAAACCTACAGTGTCACAGCTGTGCAACACCGTGGCATGATTACATGGTAATGTTCACTCAAGGGCCCAGCAGCAGTAGTGGCTGGTGTATAGAAGTACTGGACATGAAGTCCTTGTGGTGTGATCACTTAAGATTTGAACCTGCTTCTGGATGCTCAGACTTCCTGACTTCAGAATAGCTTCTTCCACTGGTCTCTGTTAAGGTTGTTTTATCCAATTGATAAGGCTCTGAAGATCCTCAGTGTCACAAACGTGATGCAGATGCCACAAACTTTGCAAATTCCGTCTTTGGGGCATGTTGTTTTTCAGGGAGCAACCTGAAGTAGCCTTACTCATGGGAACTGCCTGGCCATTTTTAATTTATATATCTCTAAGTTTTTAATCCTGTTTCTCTTCTCATTTTGTTTCTGTTAAATTGTTTCTGTTAAATTTGCATCTGAATCTTTATTCAGCTTGTAGTTGTAACACATATATGCCCATTGCAAAGGCAGGAGGCTTAGTGTTTATAGTTAGAGGAGGTGTTTGCTATCCGTTTTGACCTCATGAAGTGATGTCCTTAATGTCATGTGAAGGTATGAGATTATATGTGATAATGCATGTAGATTTTGAACTTCATATGGTAGGATTACTTTTACTTGCTGACAATTTTATCTTTGTTAAGTTTGGTGGGGGAAACCTATGAAATGCTTTCCTTATGTTTTTGAATTAAAGTAGTTGTGTAGTTTATCTTTGTGTGTAGTCCAAAAAAAAGACTCGGAAAAGAAAACAGTAGCAAAGTACTAAGCATGGGGTTATTGAGCATAGTGCAGTTGTCCTGTTTGAGGCATTAAGTTTATTATTGGTTCTGCTTCCCTTAGATTAAATGCAGATTTCAAATGTGGTTATAAGCCACCATCTGCTTTGGAACTCTAATCAAATTATGACTAAATATTGAATTTAATCTTGGCTTTTTCCTCCAGTCAGGACAGACATTTCTTTTCTTCTGGGGATAATATGAAAGCCAGACTGCAATGGCTGCTGGAGGTTGTGCACATTGTAAGGAGTGTTCCCTGCAGTAATGAGTTTATGCACTGCAAACCTTGTTCTGCAGGAATGATATTTGTTAATGGCAGGGTATAGCGTTGCAGGAGATGGAAGGCAAGTTGCTTGTGTACACTTATGAAGTGTTTCTATTCCAGCTCTGTCTCTGAAGATCTGGGTTGCAGACGTGGAGAGTTTAGCAGAAAGCATTACGGATCTGTGGAGCTTGTAAGTTTATACAGCTTGTCCTTTGATTTTAGCAGCTTATAATGCAGAGCTCAGATCCTTTTCATTTCCAGGTAAAAAACTGGATCTAGTTCAGAAAAATGTGCTTTCTAAGCTGGACTTGAAAGTTAGAGGGTAATAAAAGGAAGCTTCAGTATAGATATATTGACCTGCGCTAGGAAATCTTTTTACTACCTTGTTCATGAATATTTCATCATAATGGGACAGGAAGCATATAAATATTGTGCTTACCTCCATTTGAGCGTTTTTCCTCTTATGAGCTGAAGATGGCAAAATATTAGGATAGTATTTTATGAAGTACTTGCAGTTACATGGTTAAAAACTGTGTGCATGCTTGTGCGTGTACTTATGTATATATGTGATTTTATGTGTATGTGCCTTAGAACAGTGGGAGAAGGTTTAAAATTAAAAAGAAGTAGTTAGAATAAGGATATGGAGAGCTGTTCCCTAGAATCTATCACTTATTCTATATTTTCTTCAAATTTTAAGATTAAGTTGGCCCTTCATTTTTTTAGTATCTAAATTCCTCCTCTACTGTGAAAGTAGCAGTATATCAGCAGTTAAAATAATGTCGCTCTAATGAAGCTAGACAAGGCTCTAATGAAAATACATAAACTTACTGTAGGAAAACAGAACTGGGGAGAGGTAAAGAAGCTACACTCCAGCTGTCTTACCTGATTATTGTTATAATTGAGTCATGCCAAATCTGTAGTCAAATTGGTAATAGCGGTGCTGATCCCTTCTGTGGGTAGTCATCTGGTGCTTGGGAGAAGAAGAAACTGTGGTAAGCTTTGACTGCTGATCATATGGCTATTTTTGGAACTAGAACCTCTATCTTAAACTCTCTTATAGCTTATATCTAGCGATGCTGATGGAGCCATTCAAAGAGCTGGACGGTTCCGTGTGGAAAATGGCTCCTCTGGTGAGGTAAGTGGTTAAAGATACTTACAGAAAGCTAAAAAAATGGTTCAGCTTCAGCATTTGATCTAACATTCTCCCAATTCTATTTCAGAATACAGACTACACTCCTGGCACATGGCACAGAACGGACGTGCATTTGGAAAACCCAGAATATCATACAAGATGGTATTTCAAATATTTTTTAGGGAAAGGTAATTATTTTTTCGTGAATTTACTGAAGTTTTGATCAATGAAAATGCAATGTAGCTTTTAATTGCTATTACTGGGGAAAAAAAGTATATTATTAAATTGGTATCCATTTTCCATGCTGTACAGAAAACAATTTCTTGTTTCACGTATTTTTACCATGAAGATAGAGGGTTTCTGGAAGGGGCAGAATCCCTGTTACCAAAAAGGGATGTTTTGAAACCATTGGCCTTTAAGGCTGTACATATCTCTTGGGGTTTTTATACATCTCTCTATAAATACATAGTTATTTTGGTAGATGAGTACATATTTTTATATCTGAATACATATATTTACACATCTGTACACATCTGTGTGTGCGAGGGGGTGTGTGTGTCTTCTTTATGGTTGATAATGCTTCTTGATTTTCCCTAACAGTTCATCAAAATTACGTAGGTACAGATGCAGAGAAGAACCCTTTCTTTCTGTCTGTTGTACTGTCTGACCAAAATAATCAGCGTGTTCCTCAATACCATGCAATACTTTGGAGAAAAACTGTGAGAAACCAATATTTAACTGTTGCTCTGGCTTTATATTGGTTTGCTTGTTTGTTTTGGATACATTTATCATGCACTTTCTGCTTTATTCAGAATTTCAGTATTTATTACATATTTTTCATTTATATGAAAAATTCTACCATAGTAGATAAAACTAAACTAGTTTTGTAGATAGCATTATACTAAAATTTCTGACAGAAATCTGCAATGTCAGATATCTTTTAATTGTTCTTACCTTTGACTCTGTTATTTTTAGAAATGTTGCCTAACTTGTTCTTGGTTATGTCCTGTGATCAATTTAGGCAATAACTTTATACTGCTTTTAGGATTTTCTTATGCAATGTTAAGAAAGTAGGCAGGTGTGATACTGGATTCAGTAATACTGTTTAATTAAATATGTTTCCACTTAACATTCCATAAGAGCCCTTTATCCAAGCAATTGATTTTAAAATTATGCTGTATGCTGTATGCATGCATGGTTCATAGTTTGTAATGTTTTCTAGTTTCAGCAGGCCTTATACTTAGTTTTGACTACCTTGGCATGTGGATAAAAGTAACTTTGCACAGTCCATGGCTTTTTACATTCAGTTTGTGGCTTTTTGTTTGCTTGTTTTAACAAACTAGTAAGTAAAATGAGCACAGTTTTGGTGTTCTTTTTTTTTTTTTTTTTTTACTTAATTGTTTTATTAATATTCCTATTTAAATATACAGAACAAGTCAGTATGTCTTGTAGTAGCTCCTGGTTTTTTTTTCTTTATAGGGTACTCAGAAAATATGTCTCCCTTATAGTCCCACAAAAACATTATCAGTGAAATCTATATTAAGGTATGTATTTACAAATAAGTTACCAGTTAAGATATTTGTCTGTATGCCTTTTTCTGTAATTCAGAGCTTGTATTGTATAGTTTTCATGATAGATTTATAAAATCAGTAAAAATCCAGGCTTACAAATCTTAGTCATTAAGGCAGCAAAAAGTGGTTTTAAAGCCTGTTTTGGAATAGACAAAGTGACAAAACAGAAAAATACTTAGCACTCTTTTCAACGGACTGTTTTCAAGTTAATTGGAAATCAGGTACTAAGTGGAACTGCAGTGGTTGTGAGGATATACCTTTTAAAATTAAATAGGAATTAACAGACCTAAGGAACCAGAGATTTTGACTAGGGAGGTAGTGGTTATGTGACCCTAGCAGGAGGAAGCAAACAGGGGAAAAAAGGAATAAATATTTCTTCAGTTGATTTTTCTCCATGTAAGTCTTGCTATGGGTGTGTTACACACAGTGAAACCAAGAAAATTCCTTCTCATGGTCAGTGTGTATGGGCATGCTTGTAGTCTGTCCTGCCTCTTTTGTGGCAGAAGAGGATATAAAGTGAGCAAGCCTGACACCAGTACGTAAGAGGCTCTTCGAACAGTTCCTTTTGTAACCAGTTCTGACTGCAACCAGTGAGTGGTTTAATGCTGAAATGCATGCTTGCCCTTCTCTAAAGCAGTATTTCATTTGCATTTCAGTGCTATGAGTCTTGACAAATTTGAGAGGAGCCCAAGGGAAATCTTTCATCCTGAGATACAAAAGGTAGGAGGTAACTACTTTTTTTTTTGGTTGGTTCTTTTTCTTAATTATTTTCTGGAAAAAAAAGTCATTAACTGTAAATGCTACTGGTTTGTTTCAGTAGCAGGATAAAAAGGATGAGTAAGGTTACATGATATTATAAACTGTCTTTATCAGCTGAACTAGACACTTCAAAACAAAACTTAAGTATACAAGGATGTTACTTTTAAATCTGAGTTATCTTTAATACCAATGTGCTAAAGATACTGTTTTGTTTACAGGACTTACTGGTTCTTGAAGAGCAAGAGGTAAATACAAACTTAACCACTCATGGTTCAAGACCTATTCAACAAAAACAACTTTCTATTTAAACTATATGCACTGACATGCTTGTGACAACTTAGAAATCAACTGCTATTGCAGTAAAAAAATATAATAGTTCTTTGCAACATAAGATCAAAAATAATTTTAAGCTCCAACTTAATAGATCATAACTAAAACACCAACTTGGTATATCATAAAGTTCATAATCTATGATCAAAGATAAATGACTTGATTTCTGCTATGTCAGCATGAAGTTGGAATGAATTGTATATTCACATGTATACAACGGTATGTATATAAAAGTCCTTAGAGAAAACATGATTTTATATCTTTTGGTTTCCTATTTATCATACAATATTTGGTGTTATTTCTCAGGGATCTGTAAATTTTAAATTTGGAATCCTTTATGCTAAGGATGGGCAGCTTACAGATGATGAAATGTTCAGCAACGGTGAGCTTTCTTCTTTCACCTTTTTAGTAATTGTTCTATTAATCTGAATATTCCTGTATCTTGATTATTTTTTATAGCTGTTCTATTACGTGTGTGCTTTGTGTCTGTTGTAACGTTTCTCCCTTCCACATCTAGAAATGGGAAGTGAAAGCTTTCAAAGATTTTTGCATCTCTTGGGTGACACAGTTACTTTGAAAGGCTGGACAGGCTACAGAGGAGGACTGGACATTAAAAGTAAGAACTCGTCTGAAGCAAAAAAGTCGGGGGGGCTGCAGTATAAATGCTTTTGTTTATTGCATGTATATATTACAGAAATATGTGGATGCTAAATGCTTTGCTTCACTAGGAAAAAGTCAGGTTAGCTTAAATCACTGGTATGGAATGCAGTTGAAGAAAAGTATTTATAGGACCTGTATTTTCAAGGTGAATGGTTTCATTTTATATTGGAATGGGGTGAAGAATACCTGACATGTTACTTATTTCATGATAGTAAGGCATCATAGGTTAGGTGAAGGACATCATAGGTTTTATGTGCGTTTGTGAATGTGCAGATCAAGTTGCAAACTTGGGTTTGGACCCCTGCAGAACATGCAGTGTGAACATTTTCTAGAATGGATCAGAAAAAAAGACGACTAAAGAATGTTTGGTAGAAGGACCTGAAATATCTTTTGATCTTTAGAAAACTTAAAGTTCATATCCCTGCTGAGAATATTGTTTTCCCTTGCAGATGATACAACAGGAATCTTTTCCATCTATACGGTTTTTCAAGGGCATGAAATCATGTTCCATGTTTCAACCATGCTACCATATTCTAGAGAGAACAAACAGCAGGTATGTGGTTCTCTCTTTGTTTATTTCTTCTTCTTTTTTTTTTTTTTTAAATCACAAACTCCAAAACTTCAGAAGAAAATAAGGGAATTCTTGCCTATTAATACTTTAGAAATTTAAGCCTTAAGGCTTCTGCTATATTTTTTTCTTCAATATTATAACAATAATTATAATGCTGAAAATGTAATGATGTTTGTTAGAAGATAATGCATTGTATCAGCTTTATGACAGACAGGATCACAGCAAAAACCAGAAGCCAATCAGGACATTAATTATTTTTAAACCATAACTCAGCATCAGGGTGTTTCCTTTGTTTGAAGTGGTGGATTTGCTTATTTGAAATATGGGGTGTTCTGTGCCCCATTTGTGAATATTAAATATGGAAATTATGGAAAATATGTGTTTTGCTAATTTAATATGCAATAGCTGCTGGTTTAGCAGCTAGCGCTGCTATAATTTATACTGGCTTCAGACATAATTTTCATATCACAGTTATTCTGTTTGCAGTTTAGGAACATTGTTTGACCAATCTCTCATAGAACTGTTAAGGTATTTAGATATGTTTTTTAATTCATTATGTCTGTTTCTCCTCCCTACCCCTTTATTTTTTTATTTTTCCTTTTTTTCTTTTTTTTTTTTTTTCTTCTCCAGGTAGAAAGGAAGCGACACATTGGGAATGACATTGTCACTATCGTCTTTCAGGAAGGGGAAGAGTCTTCTCCAGCATTCAAGCCATCCATGATTCGCTCTCATTTTACACGTATCTTTTTCCTTACGTTTTCTAGTGACTTACTTATTTACTTATGAGATTTGTATTACTTTTAATTCTACCCAAAGTACCTCCTGCATGCTGGTTATGGGAGTGAAAGCTGTTTTAGAAAGACAGTTGCATTCTTGCATTCTTTATCTTCAGCTGCTTGAGTAGGCGTCTCTGAGTCTGCCTCAGGACTATATGGTATTGTTAGGTAATTTTAAGTAATCCACAACTGGTCAGTGGAGTCCTGAATTACCCAGGTAAAGGCATCCAGCACCAATTTAGATATACCGGCATATCTGACATGCCTATACAGGTCTGGCAGAGATGACACAGGGCCTACAAGAGATCTGTGTCCCTTTTGGAATAGCAACTGGAGACTAGGCAATATACTCTTAAGCATCCTAAATTGCACTGGATGCTTACATTGAAATAACTGATTCCCATTATAAGTCTGTTTTATTGTGCAGTCCCTTATAGTGCTGATCACAGCTGCTGGCAAAGGTCTCTTCATTCTGTCTAGAACAAACCCATACAGCCAATGAAGTTAATTCAGACTTATGTTTTCTTTGACACAGTTCATGAGGACTGAAAACTTACAGGCTGTGTTATAATTTTGTATGGGACCTCCTTTATAAACAGTAGAATGTGTATAGTCTAGAATATTTTATATATTTACATCGATTAATATAATTTGCCTTTATTAAATCTGTAATCTGCTGCAGGAAAAAAAAGCTGTATTAAAATACATGTGAGTTATTAGTACTGGATTAACTTCCTTAACTGCATGGCAGATATTTTTGCCTTAGTGAGATACAATAAGCAGAATGATAGTTACAGGTAGGTGCTGATTATAAACCACAACAGTAACAAATAACTTCACACTGAATTTCTAGTGGTTTAGAGATAAAGGAAAAATATTTTGTATTGTCTTTATGCCAAAGGAAGCTAAATGAACTTCAGAAATTAAAGGGCAATATGGACCTGGATGCGGGTGCATGTAAACTGGCTCTGAATAGATGCTTGTTTCCATCAGAAAAATGAAATTCTGAAACAGGCATAAGCTAAGGGTCAAACCAAAACTGCTTTTTAGATGAAATGTAACAAAATGATGGAAGATATGCCTGGAATATTCTGACCTGGTGAGGTCAGTGACACAGTGAACTACATGTGTGATGTGATAATTAGATGTGATGTGATAGCCATGGACTGCAGATCCTTTTACAGGTCTGGGTTTGGTTGTAGGTAAGCAAACCAGTTAATTTTTAGGATCTTCATAGAGTACTAGTACAGTTGGACACCACATACTTAAAACCTACTGGAATTTTGCTGGTAGACAATGTGGTGTTCATCTGTTTTTCAGTTAGCCTTGGGACCCTCACTCTTGGAGGCACATGCCATCCAGGTCTGAGTCTGTTAGGTCTCATCAGAATCTAAAAAGCAAGTATTTCTGCAGCCTTGTGCCTAGGCTTTAATGAGCAAAGTGGCTTTAACCAGATAAGATCATAGTCAGTAGATGGGCTGTCCATGGTAAACACACATTTTACACTGCTGTTTATTTGGGAAGAAAAGGAGTAGCAGTAAATAAGATAAATTTACCTCTCTTGCTGTGAATAACTGACTGCTTTTACTAGAGGAGTCCATCTTACTCCTTAGTTGCTTCATTCTGCCAGTCTTGACACATTTTCCCATAGTGCATACCACACAAGATCCATGCTGGATTCCTTATGGATCGAAAGAACTCAGCAGGTCCAGCTGGCATGGAAGTCATTCTGACTCTTTTCCTCAGTGAAAATGAATCTGCTATTCCCAAGATACATATTCAGCTGTAGTAAGGCATTATTATTCATAAAGAAACAAATACATCATGTACTTGCTGAGTGCACAGGTAGAAATCTATTAGGACAACATGTTTTGTAGGTGAAGAGCTGTTTTACAGCTTTTTTTGGAAAAGGACGAGATTTTGCTCGTGTCATTAAAAGCACTGTTCTACGGGTAGAACTGCAAAGTTCTGCTTTACTTGTTAGTAACAAACTCCGTATGAGTTTGTGTAAAGGAAGCAGAATTTTGCTCTACTGAATAATTCCAAGTGAATGATTTTTGTTGGACCCATGGGAGTTGTTACCTAAGACATACCCAGATAACAGTTTGCAGTTCTTCTATGTTGAACAGCATGTATAAAAAAAGGTGCATTTTGATTGTGACTTTCAATATAGATAAAGATTTGTTCTTTCAATAGGCTGAAAATATTTTCAGAAGAAAGTGTTCCTCTTTTTGGGCCTCCCCTTCCATCCCCACCTGTGTTTACAAATCACCAGGAATTCAGGGATTTTTTGTTAGTGAAATGTAAGTCAGTTTTTCTTTTGCTAAAAAAAAATGCTCTAAATGAATGATGCTTAAAAAGTACATACATTTTCCTAGTATGCTCTTGTTCTGTATACAGTTGTTTCCAAGTCTGTAGCATCAGTGGGATGTCAGTTCCACCAAACAGTTCCAGTCAGATTAACAAAACAAATTGATTTCTATGCAATTATGCTTCTCGGGCTGCTAGACAGAATCTGACTTTCTCATCTGCAGAATGTGCAGCCATATTTAGCTTTGCATTTTCTTAAAGGACTTGTAGATCTGAAGGCATTTGTAACGCTGTTTGATATTTAGGAATAGAAGCTGTTAGGTTGGCAGCCTTGGGAACCTGAAAGTATAAACTTTCCTGAATGCATGCTGCATAGGTGCCCTTCAGCACCTATAAAAACTTTTCACTTCTGTTATGATTCAGTTCTGTTATGATTCAGTTCCCATTTTCATTGACCCTGACTTGCCCTGCTAAATCAGCGAGAACAAAATCTTTTGGATCATGATGATTACAGTTAATGCTTAGCTGACAAGAACTTGACTAATAACTAATTTCTCAGATTTAAATTGGTTTAGTACCTAAATTGATCAGCAATTTGTGTTTTCTTTTTCCTTTGTTTTTTCTATTATTAGTTAAGTGGTTATTGTAGAATTCTCCTATTGCTATTTTTCCCTTTTAAACTTAAGGTGTCATTATTCACTAAAAAAAAAGGCAACTCTAAATTACTAAGGGTAGAACAGGTTTTTTTATGCAGAGGCAAACTAGAGTCAGTGGGAGTTGTCACCATTTAGGTAATGTATATTCTTTTCCATCATGTTTTAGTAATAAATGGGGAAAAAGCCACCTTGGAAACCCCAACATTTTCTCAGAAACGTCAGCGCACTCTGGACATGCTGATCCGCTCTTTATACCAAGACCTGATGCCTGATCTACACAAGGTAAATGTAAGTCGTTTCATCCCTCATATGTGCTTTCCTGTTCTCACTAGTAAAGGCAATGTTCTATTGCTTTAAAAGACTGTAATCCTAATGAGCACTGGATTTCATACACTGGACTAAATGCCAGTTGTCATATAACTTGTTTTACAGTTACATGGAAGTTGTCAGACAGTCATTTCAAGATAGGACTTTTCATGCATTTTTGTTTATCCAGATGTGAGGAGAAGCATAACAATGTCATACTTTGTGTAAGCTTGCCTGCAGCAGGCAGGAAATTTAGGCTCTGCAAATACATACATCAGTCTTGTCACCAAAAAAACTGCCCTTACTCATCCCGTTGTGTGTAAATTTGAATCATTTTTACCCTCGGGTAACAATGAGATAACTTCATTTTAGATGATGAAGACATTATTAAGGTGATTCTTAAATACTTAAAAGAAGTTTAGTACTTCTGAAATTAGCAAGGTGCTATCTTTTTTTCCCCCACTGTTTATTTTTCCTAGCTAAATAGATCTGCTTGAACTTTTCTGTCCCTATCTTCATGTCCGAGGTCTTTCTTATGATTACACAGAATGTGACAAACTATGACAAATTGGAAAGTAAAGCAGTCATGGATTGAAAGAACTGCACTATCTGTTCTCTGAAAAGCTCTACAGTTAGATTCATCTCATTACAGGAGAATATCCAGAAGAAGAAAATTTAAGTGATACCACACTAACTCAAACTAAAAGATTATGAAAACTTGTGGTTTAGTTAAAAATGTTTTCTGGTTTAGAACATGCTCAACAGAAGATCCTTCAGTGATGTGTTACCAGAGTCACCAAAATCAACACGGAAGAAAGAGGAAGCCCGGCAAGCAGAGTTTGTCCGACTTGGTCAGGTAGGATCAGTTTAGGAGCTATGCACCTATGTTTACAAAGGCTGCATCGCTGCTTTTGTTAGAATTTGGTTAGCTTGCATGGTTATGTCAGAATTTAATGCAGTTCTCTGTGGTTAGAAATAGTTTTGTAGTATTGTGTTATTTGTTTAAGCTACATTCAGGTAAATATGAATAGAAGTATTTATCTGTAACACCTGAGGTACACAACATGATTACAAATACTTACAAAATACATAAGCTAAAGAAAGTTTGAAAAATCATACCTTAGGATCAAACCTAAAAGGTCTTTCTGTATTTTGTGCAGCATATGCTTTCTGTCTCCAAGCAGCTCTGTCTTTTTCTGTGCTTTGGAGAAGCATAACGTTTCATGGATTTCCTCTATGTATTTTATTAAGGTTGAATTTCTTAGAAATTATTTGCTCTACTTCAGCCAGGAAGATGTTTCAACAGTCTATTTGCTAAGTCAGAGATTACCACACAGCTTTGAACATACCTGATGCTGGCTCCGGTCTTCCATGGGCTTACTGACATTTTGACTCAGTGAGGAGTAAAACTTCATCATGATTTAGTCTTGTTTAATCTGATGCTTCATTGCAGCAGAAAGAAAGACAGTGTCTACTCTCATCCGTTTCCCTGTCCTTTCCTGCTTGTCTCTTCTTGATCCTGGACTGATGACATGATTCTGCTGCTTATCTTAAGGGTACTCAGGATTTAACAGAGCAGGAAACCAAAACAGAATAAATGAAACAAAACAAACAAAAAACCCCCACACCATCACCAAAACCCAGGCCTCCTCCTTTCCCTCCCATTTTTGGAATCTGAGTTAGTAAGCTAAAGAGTGGAAGAATCTGACAAGTTCCAGATCCGGGTAATGGCCCCACATGGTTGAGAGCTGGTAAAAAAGAAATCTCAGTCTACTCTGTGCTTTGCTCACCCTTTCCCCAGCTGGTCACTCCTGGAAGATGTAGGAAAAAGAACTGAGTAACTGTAATGTTCGGATAAAAGTAACCAATAATTTATTCCCCAAGTTTACTAATTACTTTACAGAAGTTAAAGACAAAAAAAAAACACCAAACCAAACCCCAACCAATGTGTATTTTGGCTGAGAAGGTATCTAGCAGCCCTCTAGTATTTCATATAGACTTTGTTCAGGATATACAGAATTCTGTTTCTTCCCCAGTTACTTGAAATGTGACAAGAATTTCAAACTGAAGCTACTCTGTGGTCCCAAACTGTCCTTTCTTTATAGTATTTAGCTTGGGTATTGCTGACAGAAACTCAATTTAAATAAAACATCTGTTTGCATTAGGCACTGAAATTGAAAACCACTGTGAAAGGGGATGCGACAGCTAACTTGGCAACCACAAGCTTTTGTAAAAAGGAGGTGAGTGAACCTGTCTGTCTGAAGAGAGTTATGAAAAGATTAAACACTGTCAAGTATGGCACTGCATACCTGCATCTGTATATTTACTTTTGTAATTAGTGCTGTAGCATCAAAGATGGTATGTGTAGTGTCAAAGTGATTCTGCAGCCAGTACCAAATAAAGGATGAGCCTAGAGGCAGCAGCACTCCCCAAGTTAAAGCAAGTGTGGATATTGTTATATCTGAGAATACTTGATGAAAGTACCATTTTCCATATGCAGTCATCTTTTAGTTCAAATTCTGCATCAAATTTAAAACAAAATTCAGTCGTGTTTTTATTTCCTGTAGTCCCAGATTTTGTTCAAGGGCATTAGGGAGTCAGAAGTGCAAACCACGCTCTTCTGCATGCATCTTATATACAGAAGCTTCAGAAGCACTTCTAGAATCTCAGAGACTTCAGCTAATATTTAAATTGGGGGAGGAGGGGCTCTGTACTGGGAGGTAAGTACAGAGAACATGATGAAAGAACAGTCTGGCAGAAAGTTTCAACTGTACCATGTGCTAGTGACTAAACATCACAAACTGAGCCATAAAATATGAGCAAATTGCATATGCATGGTGGTACCTACTTTTTAAGTGTACAGTTTTTTGTTTAAGTAAAATACATACTGGGTATCAGCTGCATGTGTTGTAATTCCAGTGTTTCAGGAATGTGTCTTACATTTAACTAGTCTCCAGATGCGATAAGTACAGAAATTATTTCCTCTGTGAGAAAATTAAGTTTGATATTTCAAATTCAGAAAAGTAGACTGCTGTAAATACTTTTTGGCAGGATACATTTCTATGTTACTACTTGCCATTGTCCATCACATTTTGTGTCTGTATGATCTGTATTTCCTAGTGTACTTAATATGTATCCCTTGTGTTACTTCATAGCCTTGGGAATCTCAATCTTTCTGCAGTAATTTTCCTCATGAGGTTGTCTGTGCAGATTCTTGGGGCCAGTCCTTGCTGGTTTCTACAGATGCTGGCATCTTGTTAATAGATGGTTAGTAAATGATCCAGTGTTTATTGTGTCAATTTTTATGTATATATCTGTCCACTTTCTTGAAAATGTATGTTCATAAGCAGCGTTCAGATATTGGTAGGTCTTCGCCTACAGGGATAGTTCCCAATCCAAGTAAATTTATTGCACTTAAGTAACCTGGTTGCAAAAATTCTCACTGCACCAGAATCAAGCCATATTGAGCAGTCAGTGTTAATGCAGATTGCTGAATGCTTTGTTATTTCAGGTGCTGTTTTCTTGACCATCTGAAAAGACTCATGAAGTCACATCCAAGCTCAAGGAGTATTTAAATGGCTTGTCTGGCTTTCTTAGCCCTTGATAATAGTGAGCATGAAACCAAAGGCTTACGTGACAAAGAAAGCCTGCTTTTTCCATAGTGATGATATTGCTAGTTTGACCCCTTGTCTTCTGTGTGTCACATAAGGCCAGCAGTACCAAAAGAATGATGTCAGTTCTTGGTGATAATTCTCAAGCTTTCCAAAGGAAGGTCCCTTTTGGGCTTCAGTTGCATAATCTGATCCATACGATGATAAAACTCTCCCATGAGCAAGTGCTGGCTGATGCTATGGTATATGTATCAGCTTTTTCATTTAAAAAAAAACAACCCTGAGGCTTGTATTACAAGAAATAAACAAGTCAGAACCAGTGACTAGCAAATTTTAGCAGGTTTTTGAATACATGTATATGTTTCATTTTTAGATGGTCAGCCAGCAGTGCAAGTATTTGATAAAACTCTCCAAGTAAAGCAGATGCATGTGCTGGAAACTCTGGATCTTTTGGTTGCTCGAACAGACAAAGGTAGGGCAGGTGCCTGTTCTCTGATTCTGTTCTCATTTGAATGTGGCTAGTGCTGGCTATGTATGTCTCATGAGGCAGCTGTGTCAGATGCCTCATTTCGAATAGGGGAGCATATACAGCAACTGCTGTTATTTTCTGTCAGGCTGGGAGGGAGAATCCCTGAATGCTCATTCATACTTCCTTCAAGGCAAACCTGAAACAGGTCATGTGGTCTTTTGGTCTTCCTTCTGCCATTGTTGGAACTCGACACTCTTGGAAATCTCTTTGACTGAATTATGTTTATTCAGTTATGCAAACATGTTGGGGAAATGACTTAATGCTGTTGAAGAAGGCACCAATGCAGCAGGTATCAAAGATGCCACAAACTTCTTAGGGACTTTAGACTGACAAAAACTACCAATTGCTAGGCAGCAACCACAGCCATCCATTATAATCTGCACTTTCCAAGAGTTGGCAAAAAGCTGTAAGGCTTTCTGAGCAGGTATCTCATAATCCTACGTAATTGTTACAAAGGTTTAGGATTAGGACTCAGTTAACAGAAAACTCTCATGATACTCTCTGTAAAATCTGTTTGGGAGGTGCTGCTTCTCTTTGGAATTATTAATTTCAAACTACCATCATATTTTTTAACTTGCTGTGTCCTGTCTGTCTTCATCCTTCAGGCAAAGACTCTCGTCTCCTTGTCTTCAGGCTCAGTGCTGTCCAAAAGGATATAGAAACAAAGCAAATCATAAGAAGCAAATATGACTGCAGAGAAAATAAACTGGAGAGAACAAAAGGTAATTGTTTTCTCTTGTGTTAAAAACATCCACTGTGGTATGATGCTTGTAGTTGCCAGGGACTTATTAGCTCCTTGGAGGCAGTTGTAGGTGTTCACCTTTATATTTTTCTCTGGACAGTCAGTTCAAATTTCGTTAAGCTTAGATGTGAAAGTAAATCAGGTGTAGTCCAGCATGACAGTTTAGAACTGTATGAAAATACCATGGTACTTGGCAGTCACTGTTGATGAAAAACTCTATAGAGAAAAATAGATACGTTGCTTTCAGGATTGAGGAATAGGAGAAGAATTATGTGAGACTGAATACTTTAAGGTGGAAGAACACTGACAAATCTCCATCAAATAGTGCTTAGATTACTTGGATGTCATCTGTTATATTAGTAGACATAGCCATTTTCTAGTCTTCAGAAGCAAGCTGCTTTGGAAATCTGGAGCCTGCAGAATTTGCCTTTTGTCTTTTTCTAGAAGTTAATGTTATCCTCTTGGGAGGTTTTTAATTGTGTTTCTAATTCATATATCAGAGCCCTGTTGTACTAATCGTTATACAGATAAACAGACCCTGCCCCAAAGACTTCTGATCTAGCGCGTTATTTCCTCAGGCTGCCATTTGTATGCCATTAATACTCACCATGGGAGTGAACTGAGGATTGTCGTGGCTATTCGGAGCAAATTACTTCTCGTCACAAAGAAATACAATCCATGCAACAGTTTAACTAGCAGCTCTCTGCTGTTCTCATCTGAATCTCCAGTAGAGGAGTTCCAGTACATCCGGGTATGTGTGATCTAACCACTAATTACCTTAACAGACTGGGTAGCCCTTGGGGGAAGGAAAGCCAAAGAACATGGGGTTTATCTTCTGAACCTCCAGACAAATAAAAGTGAGAAGCCGACCGATGGAGTTCCATCACGTGTATGCCAAAGAGATCTTTCACATTTTTTTTTAATGAAGTTTGTGCTTCATGTTTCTGTTCTTAGAGCACATCCTTTTAAATTCACGTAGTACCTGCAGCACCAATAGTACGAGCCTGAAAAAAGAGAATAATTCTGTTATTTACATTATAGGAGATATGCCTTTCTGACCCTCCAGTGGTTATGACACTGGTGGATGGACCTACTGGAGACAGTGACAATATGATCTGTGTAGCGTATCGGCATCAGTTTGATTTAGTTAACGAGAGCACTGGGGAGTCCTATAGACTGCATCATGTTGAAACAAACAAGGTAAGTTTTCAACATTGAGACTATTTTCTTGCAGAACCACACTGAACATAATTTTTTGCAGACTCGGTGCATCCTGTGCTGGCCTCCTGGAAGGATAATTTATGGACATCCTCATGTCTCTTCACTTTGTCACCTCTGCTTTAGGGCACTCTGAGATATTTGTTCCTTTTGGAATACATGATAATCATCACTCCCAAGAGAGGCAGTTAGTCTCTCTTTTCATTTGATGGTCCTTGTGAATAGGTTATTTTCAGTTAGGTTATCTCAGTATCCTCTGTGCCTGTTCATTAACCTTTCCCATTATCTCTGCAGGTTAATTTTGTTGCAGCTATTGATGTCTATGAAGATGGTGAAGCTGGTTTACTGTTGTGTTACAACTGTAAGTATTTAGGGAAGGTTGAAAATGGTAATTCCTTAATCTGGATATGTAAATCTTTTTCATTGGAGTCTAGATCTGTCTTTTTAAGTAAGCTTCATTGTTTCATGGGAAGTTTTTCAATATACGTGCTTTTGAATTTAGATGTGTATTAGACAGACTAAAAATTGAACTATTATTTCAGGGTATGTTGAATGTAGACATACTAGCTGTTAGGTTTTAATTTCAGGTATATGGATGGGTATGTATGTATTTATATATGTAACCACCTTAATCACAAAAGTCCTATTTCTTCACATCTAGTTCATTCTTTAAGTAGTTACACACTTCCTAGGTTTTTGCCAGACATGTACAATTTAATTTAGCATTCCACCCCTTCTTCCTCTGTGCGCTACCCCATTCTGTCTTTGTGCTTTTCCTTCAGCCTGCCTCTTGGCACTGCTGGTATTATTTCATTGTAATTCTCTGAATCCCCTTTTATAAAATGGGACACAGAATTTGGCAGTGGCTTAAGTTTGTATTTAGAAAAAGACCTATAATACATTTCTGGGCATAAACTTTGATTCAGTCTAAGAACAGCAATTACAGGAAAAAATCCAGTTTTGCCTAAAAATAGAGCTGGAAACAACATGTATTTGAGAGGGTCACAGATGTTTACCTGGAGCCCCCACTACACTTGTAGAATCACAGACTAATTTGGGTTGGAAAAAACCTTAAGATCATCTAGTTCCAACCCCCTCACACTAGATGCCCAAGGCTCCGTTCAGCCTTGCTTTCAGCACTGCCAGGGATGGAGCATTTACCACTTCTTTGGGTAGCCTGTGCCAGTGCCTCACCACCCTCACAGAGT